CTCATATGCCCAGGTCACGACCTCACATCATAGAAGCTACCCTCTTGGAATGCTAAGTTTAAGTCGCGAATCGCGAACCGTCAGGTCGCGACTCATTTGACAAAGGCCACCTTCGTCACAATCCTGGTATGGGGTCGTGACTGAGAATCCTCAATTCATGACCTCATGTCACAGAGGCTCATATCCTCGGCATTTTTACCTTCCAGTCTCAGCACTCACCACTTCTTGAAAATCTGCATCATTAACTAACAAACTCCTTCCAGGGCCAATGTTTTGTAAATGCAGAAATGGAATCAAAATTTGATGGAAAAGAAAAGTCTTGAGAAATGAAAGCATGCTATCAATTTCTAGAGAATTAATGCATGGCACCTCATCTCCACAAGAACTGGAAAATGAATAGACAGAAGAGAGGGAATTGAAATACTCATCATATGTACTCAAAGATGAATCAAGCTCATAAGATTCATGTGATGATGCAGCAGAAGAATCAATCAACTTAGGTGAACTCATGTCATAACTATCATGCATATGTAGCTCATGATCATCCCTAGCTTGCTCAACAGCTAAATCAATAGCATTTAAACCCGTAAATACGGAATTGTCAAAAGGATAATGCATGGCTTCTTTCATATTAAAAGTTACAACATGGTCTCCTACTTCCATTGTTATATAGCAATGTTTCATGCTTATGATAGTCTTGGAAGTTTGCAGGAAAGGTCTTCCCAAAATCAAAGTGCTTCCATTTGCAAGTTCATTTGACATATCTAAAACATAGAAATCAGCAGGGAATACTAGATCCTTGAGTTGGACTAAAATGTCTTCTATGATTCCCTTGGTATACTTGATAGACTTATCTGCTAATTGGAGTACTACACTTGTGTCTTTGATCGCATTAATCCCTAGAGCCAAATAAACCGACCAAAGCATGACATTTATGGCAACACCTAGATCTAACAATGCTCCCTTAATGTAAACCTTTTGTATGGTGGACGGGATGGTATAAGACCCAGGATCTTGGCACTTAACTGGTAGTTCAGCTTTGAATAAGGATGACACATTAGCACTCACCTGAATTCTCCCAAGGGGCCTAAACCTCTGCTTGTCATTACACAGTTCCTTAAGTAATTTAAAGTGTTTAGGATTCACTCTTAAGAATTGAATTATGGCACATTGATTTCTAGTTTGTTAAAAATGTGTAAGCATCAGTAGCAAACTCAGCATCAAACTTTTCTTACCAGAGAAATAGGCTTTAGGAAAAGGAAGATCTTTAGCACATACCTCCTTACCTACTGGCTTAGAGGCTCCTTAGTTGCTAGTCTTTGGCTTGTCCTCCTTTTGCTTGTCTTTGGGAGTCAAACTCTCTACAGTGCTCTCATTTTCTAGCACAGCTACTTAAGATGCTTTCTCTTGTGCTTGAATTGACTTCTCTTCTAGTTCAATGTGTGCTCTTGCCTTCATCATGAGCTCTTCTTCTTTGGAGCTCTCAGACTTGCCAAGTCTCATTAGGGAAAGTAGATGACTCTCTACCTCTTATGCATAATCATCCTTGTCTACTTTTTTACTTTTAAAGTGGACATTTTTACCACTTCTTAGAGTTATGGCGTTGAGCCCCTTTTGGATTGATCACTGTATTGGAAGGAATGTTGCTCCCGCTTTTAGCTTGTATGTCATTGACCGCATTAGACAATTGGGTCAAATGACTGGTGATATCAGTGTTCTTTAGAGTGAGCTCCTCCAGTTTCTTATGAACATCTAAATTATCTTTCCATATCCCTTGCAATATGGTGGTTATGGAAACAAACTTGTCATCACTTTCCTTCATTCACCCCTCTATGTTTGTCATCTGAGCAGCCATACTTTTTGAAAGTTGAGAAGTGTTATCACTTCTTGGTGGTGGTTGAGATGCCATGGTGTTAGGTAAAGTTGTTGCCACTGCTCTTGAAGGATCTGGATATGTGCTTGAGGAAGCCCCAGGATTGTAGAACTGATTGCCTTGAACTAGTTTGGTCTATTTGCTCCCCCACCCCATTTGATGTTTGGATGATCTCTCAACTGGGGTTGTGGGTGTTTGAGTAGGGGTCCCTTTTCTGATATTGACCCTTCTCTTCCTTGGTACATGGCATTTACTTCTTCAACCGGCCCAGGGCAATTAGCAATAGTATGCATTGGTGAACTACAAAATTCACAACTTGTAGCTACTAATGCAAGGGATTGAGTCTTGTTGGAATGGAGACTCTCAACAGTATTGGCAACTTTAGACATGTCTTGTGCTAACTTGACCAAGAGGGGGTCTCTTTCAGATTTGGGGTCTCTTAAATCTCTTGCGCTCACATGTTGTCTATTAAGAGCAAAGGTCCTTATCAACTCCCATGTAGCCCTTGGTTCCATATTTTCCATAAACCTATTAGCAACAGCATCCAAAACTTGTGCATCATATGTTGACAACCCATTGTAGAAATATTGCACCAAGTGCTCCTTAAGAATTTGATGGTTGGTGCATTGAGAAAGCATCTCTTGAAAGCGACTCCAAAATTCAAAGAATGTCTCAAATGGCTCTTGCTTAGCTGCTAAAATTTCCTTGTGGGCAGCTAAAATCTTTGTGGAGGGAAAGTATTTATCCAAAAATGCTTTCTTCAAACTGGTCCATGACTCATAAGAATTGTCCACATAGAGTGGTATGTTCATGTACCATTCTTTAGCTTTGCCTTCCAAAGATAAGTAAAAAACCTTCCACATGACATCATCAATACTGACTCCTATTGTCTTCATGGACAAACATTGCATATAAAGAGTCTGGAGGAGCAAGTATGGGTTTTCTCCTGTAAGACCATGGAACTTAGGCAATAAGTGAATCAATTGACTTTTAATTTCAAAATCTGCATTGAAGGTAGGAAAAGCACTAGGCATAGGTTCAAAGTTCCCATCAGATTAAGTTAATTCCTTAATGGTTCTACCCCTAGGTTGTTCATTAATCCTATTTTGACTATTATTTTCTCCTTGTCCCTCATTACCACCATTATTAGGTTATTCTGTTTACCATTCCCATTCCCACCGTTTGGACCATGAGGAGGTACTTCAGCCATAATTTCTTCTTCTTCTTCCTCCTTACTCTCACTAGATGAATGGGCTAGGTCTCGTAAAATAGGTGGGCTACAAGATGCAGTAGGTCTGCCTCTCCTACCTCTACGTACTTTAGGCATGCATAATTACTCAAGAAATCAAGCACATATAGAGTTCAAGAAAGACGTAAGTTCAAAACTGTGTATTTATCAAGTGTGTAGTTCAAAATTGAGGCAAACTCAATGATTAATGTAATGCTCAGTGAGTTTGAGGTGTATGAAGTGCTATACACTCTCAAAGTATGTGCAGAAAGTAAAGTTATGAAAAAGAGTAAGTCTGGACACTCAGAATTAGTGAAAAACCAGATCAGGTCGCGACTTGAAAAATTTTAGGTCGCAACTCAACTAAACAGAGAGCAACCCTGAAAGAAAAAGAAGTCAAGGTCGCAACTTGCAAAATCCCAGGTCACGACTTAAACAGACCAAGCAACACTGGATAATAGCAAGTTGAGGTTGCAACAAGCCACAAGTCAGGTCGCAACTCAACCACTTAGGTCACGACACCAAATATGTGAGGTCGCGACTCAAGGTCACAGAGAGCTATTTTCGCAAAATCTTTGAAGAAAAATACTAAGTACTTCAACCAGATGCTGAACAACTATGCACAGAGGTAAAAATCTCAAGCAATTGGCTAAAACACTCAGGATCAAGCTAGAATAAAATGCAAATGTAACTGTATAAAAAACAAGATATTTGGTTCTATTTCTCAAAACTTTTGATGCCATGAAATGCAAGATTTAACTTCAAAAACTAAAACTCTATGAGAATCGACCCAAATCACAATGGTGAAGAAACCAATTACTAGGGAACCAATTCAATGGCTCCCCAGCAATGGTGCCATTGATCAATGTGCCGGACTGTCGCCTTCCGGATCATCAAGAAAGCGAGTTGCACCATATAAAATGCAGTATAGGATGCAACTAGTCGTTCTTCTTGATGAGCTTGTTATTGGAAATCCTAGTCTAAATTGGGTTTCAAAAACATTGTAAAAAGGGGGGTTTTAGTTGTTTTAAAAGTGGTGCAACAAATGCAAAGTGCATAAAATTAACTATTTTTGGTATTTTGAATGAATGAAGAAATGTTTTGGATTAAAAGGGAATTATGGTTAGATAGTCTCTTGATGATGAAAGCTCAGCTATCACTGCTCTTTAGAATGATTGGAAGTTTGGAAAACCTCTAAGTCTGAAAAAAAAACCCCAAGTAATCACTTGGATCCAATATCTTAATTAATGAAAACTCACTTTAACCAAAGTTAATTAACACCTCTTAAGACACTGCTAAAAACCACTTAGAGTGTAAATGAATAAATGATACAAATGCCCTTTGAATGTCAATCGACAGCCACAGAATACCAAGCACTCAGATTAATCAACAATTATCACTGATAATCAAACTGAACACAAGGATTCAAACTGAAATATTAAAATAGATTAATCAACATTAACATCATCCAATCCAAATACAATAGAATAGTCTAAACACAAGATTTACAATCATAAACCAAGTTTGATACAAGTGAAGAAAGTTCCTAAATCTAGAAAAATTCAACACAGTATTAAACAATGATTTAGACTATAGAAAGAAAACTCCCCAATTAAGTCTTTGAGCTCAAGCTTTGTCTTCTATCACCAAGAAGCTAAGGGTTTAGCCTCTCATGCTTTCAAACCAATCGCAATCGCTCCAGGAATGAGTAGCCATAGTTAAAGCTAAAAATAAGGTTGGAAAAATGGAGAAGAAGGGTGTTGGAGTGGTTTGATCGGTTCAGAAATGCAAAAAAATGATGAAAAAATGGAGAAAAATGGAAGTTTTGGGTGTAGGATCAATGGACACTAGAGAGGAGATGATGGTGGCTCAACCTTGTGCAAATCTGCAGAATGGGAGAGTTCTCTTTCATGGTGGTTGCCCTCATTAGGTATAAAAGCTCAGAAACCTATTCCAAAATGCACAGCTTCACTTAACGCACTCAAGTCATGACCTTAAGACTGTAAGGTCGTGACTCAGGGGAGTCAAGTCATAACCTGAGAGGCTTATTGTCGCGACCTAGGAAGACAGAGAGCTTGCATCTCTACTCAAATCCAAAACACGTGGCTTCAGTAAAATGGCATCCAGGTCGTGACCTAAGTGTTCCATGTCATGACCTGGAGAGGCAGAACACTCCTAACTTGTGTGTCTTGGTCCTTGTAACATTTTGGCTCCATCCATACTCTATCATGACTTTTGGGTCCTTATCCAATTGCCTGAAAATCACAACAAAGAACTTTGTAAAGACCAACTGATTACAAATCAAGGTAATTAAAATTTAAAAGAGAAAAATAACCCTATTTTACCCTTTAAACAGCAAAATGTAATGCATAACTCAATATAATCAAATGGATATAAATGCATGCATAATAAGGGTAAAATTGTTGCAAAATATCATAAAATACTTGAGAAAACCATATAAAGATTGGGTTCTATCATTGATGTTCTTATACAAGAAGGCCATCTAATTACTTTTACTAATAGACCTCTTAGTCCTTGAAAACAATCACTTTCTGCTTATGAACGTGAACTTATGCAATAATATTTTTTGCACAACAATAGTAATCTTATTTGGTTTGCTCTATTGTTACTTTCAAGATAGATCATTCACCCTTGAAACATTTTGTTGGAACAGAAGTCACTGTTAACAAAATTGTTTAAGTGGCTCAATAAACTTTAGGACTAACTTATGAGATTTAATACACTAAGGGAAAGGAAATAGGCCTGCAGATGCCCTTTCATGCCAATTTGATGTTTCATTAGCCGCAATATCAGCTCTTACAACTGAATTGCATATTAAGGTAAAGTAAACATGGCTTGTTGATGATCATGTGCAATAACTAATTAAGGACTTGGTGCTAGATTCTAACTCTCATCCTAAGTATAGGTGGCAACAACAATTATTGAAGAGGAATGGGAAATTACTAGTGGGTATTAATCATTTATTACATCATGAGTTGCTTTCCTTCTTTCATGTAGATCTTGTGGGTAAACATTCTTGCCCTATTGCTACTTATAAATGGTTTGTCTCTGTCTTTTACTGGAAAGGAATGCAATGTGATGTAAGGGAATTCATTCAATCTTGCTCTACTTGCCAACATTTTAAATATGAGCATATAGCTTCCCCTGGGTTATTAAAACCTTTACCACTTTTAGGTCACTTATGGACTAAGCTTTCTATGGATTTTATTAGTGGCTAGCCTCCATCATATTCTAAAATAACCATTCTAGAAGTTGTTGTCAAACTTAGTAAAGCTGCCAATTTCATGCCACTTAAGCATCTATTTTCAGCAGCAGATATAACCTGTCTTTTTCTTGATAATATTGCAAAGCTTTATGGGTTTTCTAAGTCCATTATGACTAATCGTGATCCTTATTTTTGTGGAAAATCTTGGAAGGAACTCTTTCAGTTCTATGGTGTTAGGTTGAATTACTCCTCATCCTATCATTCGCAGTCAGGTGGTCATACTAAGGTCTTAAACTACTGGTTTGAATGTTACTTGACTAGTGACTTTCCAAAGCAATGGGTTTATTGGCTTTCCTTGGTATAATTATGGTACAACACTACTCACCACTCTTCTATAAGCATGACTCCATTTGAAGCAATTTATGGTATTCCTCCACCAGTTCATCTTCCTTATATGCTAGGGGATTCATTAAATGATCTTATTGATCGACTTTGCACATCATGAGAAACTACTATTTAGATGTTAAAAGACCGACTCTTGAAAGCCTAGCACAGCATGATCCAGCAAGTCAATAAGCGTCATACTAAAATGGAATTTATAGTGGGAGATATGGTTTATCTTAAGCTTAATGCCTTTCGTAGAGACCTGCTTAATAATTCTGCCTTGCATAAACTTGTAGCTTGGTATTTTGGACCATTTGAAGTCCTTAAATGGATTGGGTTATGAGCGTAAACTCCCTCTTGAAACAAGGGTACATCTAGTATTTCACATTTCCCTATTGAAAAAAATATGTTAGTAAGGGAATTCCGGTTACAACTTCACAGTTGACGACAAATAAGGAGGGCCAATTTTCACTGGAACCTGAATCTATCCTTGGTCGCAAGCTTGTTAAGCATGGCGCATTGCCTGTTACTCTAGTTTTGGTCCATTGGAAGCATAACAGACTTAAAGATGCTACTTGAGAGGATCTTTACTTCCTCAAACAGCAATTTCCTACGTTTGATGGTACTACCTAGCCATCCAACGTCATCCTTGTGGACAAGAATGTTTCTTAGGGGGCATAAATGTTATGAGTCAGTTGGATTAGTTTTAGCATGTGTCTCATTCTAGTAACAACCTGCATAACTGATCGAGTATTAGTGAAGGATTATTAGCTTATAAATATCCCATAGTTGTAATCTCTACGTTCGGCTAAAGAATAATGTACATGTGCTTTTCTCACTCTCTCTCCTCTCTACTGCGTAACAGTTGTCTTTCCTAAATTGTTCTTATTAATTATGTGTATTAGAATCAAAACCTTCTAACATGTTTAATTATCATGGGAACTATTTTGAGAAAAATAAATAAATATGAAAATAAAATGGGTTGGATTTTTATACCAAATTGAATTTTTAATTAACTCTTATATTTTTATATTTACGACTGGAGGTAGTATTTTTTGGGGTCAAAATTAAGAGTAGGAGACCCTACTAATAGGAAACTCTCTAAAGGTACATGTCCATATAAATATTCAAGACTGAATATTTTAATTCGTGTTAACGTATTTCCGAATCTGACCTTGCATATTTGTATAGTTTAGCAATGAAGAAACTTCACTTTAACATACAAGTCACAAGTACTATCTAGCAAGATATTATGATTATTCAAAAATTACATTAAAATAGGTGCTTCTTTACAATCTATCCATTTAAAGTCCCATATGTTGTCACACAACTTCTGGGTTGAGCATGACGGAAATATCGCCCTCATATTGTTTATGTGTTCTCGATATTAGACGGACTAATAAAAAAAAAAAAAACTGATTTCGCGCAAATATGACCATGCAAATAGGGAATGACTTTAGGTGCTCATCCAAGTGATCAACACAAGTTCATTAATGTTCTGCTTGAATAGGAAGAAAAGTTCAAAGGAAAAAAAATGAGAGGAGAGAAAATGGAGAGAAAGAAGAACTATAAAGAAAATATTATCATTCCTCTTGCTTGGATAGAGGGGAGAAAATAGAGAGTAAAGAAAACAAGCAAATGCCTAAATGTTTAAACTATCCTTATTAAAATATATCATATTCAAAATTACATCAGAAATATTGCAATAGGAAAATTATACTAACATTAGCATCATCAATTAATTTAAAATCAAGTTATTTGGTTTATATATTTTCATATTATTATATTGTAAAACCACATCATTAAATAAAAATATTGTTGTAAGATAAAATTAAAAAGAAAAATAATTTTTTTAATGTTTTAAAAAATTAAATATGTAAAGGAAGAACTCAAGAATGTGCGAGAGGAGGAGCAGTTATGAAAATCTTATTTTTCTCCCCAAATCTCTCTGTATATTGAGAGAAAATTTGGACAGAAAATGAGACATGATGCCTACTTTATTTTCTCCCACACTTTTCCTTCTTCTCACATTTTCTGTCCTATCTAAGTAGAAGAAAATTTATTTCTCCTCCTATTTTTCTTAGTTTTCTCCCTTTCCTAATTTTCTCTCAATTTAGGCAAGGGGTAAATCTGGATATCATGATTTGATCTCACTCTAAATATAATTTAATTTCTTTTTTATTTTTATTTAGGGTTAATACAAATTTTGGTCCCTCAAATTTGGACCCAATTTGGTATTGGTCCCTGAAATTTAAAACGTGTGGTATTGGTCCCTGGAATTATCTCCGTTTCAGACCATTAGTCCCTGGCATCTTGGCACCGTTAAATTTTGCTGACGTGGCGTTAACACCGTTAACTGATGAGTTGGCATATAGGTGGCATATGACCTGGACGTGGTATTGGTCCCTCAAATTTGAGGCCATTTTGGTATTGGTCCCTGAAATTTAAAATAGATGGTATTGGTCCCTCAAATTATATTTGTTTCTGGCTGTTGGTTCTTGATAGCTTTATGCCGTCAAATTTGTCTGAGTTGGCTCTAACTTTGTTAACCTATGATACTGCATTTGACTTGGCAACTAAAACTTGATGATGTGGCATGAGCAATGAAAGGTTATGGTCGAAGAGAATCTATGCAATCTGGGATTCACTTTTGTCAAAACACAGAGCTTCTGCTCCTATATTAGTGTGGAGGAAATGCAGTGCATTCTCAGCTAAACCTTCTACCTCCTCTGCTACCTTTGGCCAAAAAGGTGACTTAACAGTTCATGAGAAGAAGAAGTCGGCTTCAGATACAAAACCACTCCCATTGAAACCATCTTCTTCTAGTACAGACGATGATGAACCTCCCAAGAAAAAAGAGAAGCACATTACTAGAGTAAGAAGTTTGAGTAGAAGCAACAAGAACCTCACCGGCAACTCCAACAAAAAGGAAGGCACAACCAGCAAGCCGCCAGAGCCGCTGAGACCAGATAACAGCAAAGCAGAGGGTTCTACAGGAACAGATAAAAAGAGAAGGGCCTAAAGCTATCAGGGACCAAAGGCCAGAAACAGATATAATTTGAGGGACCAATACCATCAGTTTTAAATTTCAGGGACCAAAACCAAAATGGCCCCAAATTTGAGGGACCAATATCATGTCCAGGTCATATGCCAACTCATCAGTTTAACGGTGTTAACGCCACGTCAGCAAAATTTAACGGTGTGAAGATGCCAGGGACCAACAGTCTGAAACGGACATAATTTCAGGGACCAATACCACACGTTTTAAATTTCAGGGACCAATACCAAATTGGGATCAAATTTGAGGGACTAAAATTTGTATTAACCCTTTTATTTATTTAAACTAATTATTTTAATGGGTATAGAATTTTTTGGCTATTATTTTTCTCAAAAAATAATTTATTAAAAATTCTAAATTTGGACCATGCAAATTAAATAACAGTCTCCTGACTTGTTCCTGCGAATAATTCTTCTATCTAGTTTAGTATTGACGTGGGTATCATGGAATTTTGCAATATTGCCTCCTTTAGACTTAGCCATAGCAATGGAGTTTGGGTAGACAATTGTGGTGATTTTTATTATGTGAATAATTGTAATGAAAAACAAAGTGAATTTTTTAAAAAAAATATATTGTTGCTTTAAGTTTTTAACAATTGATAACTAAGTTTATTTGTTTTTATAAAAAATTATTACTGATAGCTATTATTCTAGCGCACCTTATGTTTTGAAAAAAAAAAATAGGCATAATTATTTTTTTAATGAAGGGATAATATTATCATTTACTTTATTATCTTTCCGTTTGTACTTTTTTATAAGATATTATTATCTTTCTATAATTTTCTTTTTGGGAATTAATGGGATTTCACTGCTTTGAAAGACAGATTATTAATTTTCTTTCCATTAAATACAACCGTCGCGTTCTCTTGTACTTCCCCTCTTTTTCTATTTTTTGGGTACAAATTAATGGGAACTTTGCTTGAAGAGACAAATTATCAGCCAAGTAATGGGCCGTTTTTCATCCGAATTCTGAGGCCACCAGAATTCAACCTTGTGAATCCCACGCCATGAATCGACACTCCCTAGCTACGAGTCATTACTTAACATTCAATTTCAATTTTCTCACAAGGAAACGCACCGTTTTGTCTTTCTATATACACCTCGACTTTCTCACCTCTCCTATGGCCGAAAAATCCATCTGTCCTTATCGGTGACGGTGATCTCTATCTCCCAACCATGGAACAAACCATAGTCCTCTATCCAGCTCCAGGAATAGGCCACATAATCTCCATGGCTGAGCTTGGCAAGCTCCTTCTCCTTCACCATTCGCACTCTTTCTCCATCACCATCCTCCTTACCACCGGCTTTCTGGATAAACCCTCCCTCGATTCTTACATCCGTCGCATCTCTCAGTCCTACCCCTCCATCTCCTTCCGCCGGTTCCCTTTCCTCGCCGTCGAATCGGCCGCCACTCCTCGCAGCCCTGCCGCAACCGCGTTTGAATTCATTCGGCTCAACGAAACCAACGTCGCTTCAGCACTCAAGGTCATCTCGCAAACTTCCAATGTTCGAGCTTTCGTCATCGATCTGTTCTGTACATCAGCAATGAATATAGGTTCTTCTCTTGGAATTCCTGTCTACTACTTCTTCACCTCCGGAGCCGCCATCCTTTCCGCTTTCTGTTACTTTCCGAAGATTCACGAGCAAACTACGAAGAGCTTCAAGGATCTCTCCATAGATCTTCACTTTCCTGCTAACCCGCCACTTAAGGCCTTTGAAGTGGTGGAACCACTGCTTGACAGAGACGACCCAGCTTACTGGGACTTCTTATATTTCTGTTCCCATCTTCCTAAAGCAAGTGGTATTATTGTCAATACGTTTCAAGAGCTAGAGCCCATAGCCGTTAAGGCTATAGCAGAAGGCGCGTGCTTTCCGGATCCAAAGCAAGCGCCTCCTGTTTACTACATCGGTCCTCTAATTGCAGAGCCTAAATATCCCAACGAAGGAGAAGGAGAAGGAGAAGGAGATCGTGGAAAACGTCAGAACTGTTTGTTGTGGCTTGAGAAGCAGCCGAGCCGAAGCGTGGTTTACTTGTGTTTTGGAAGCCGTGGCTCGATGTCAATAGAACAAATGAAGGAGATCGCCAATGGACTTGAAAGGAGTGGGCAGAGATTCTTGTGGGTCGTGAAGAGGCCACCCATTGATGAGAGAATGAAGCAGACGGAGGACACAACGAGGGAGTTCGATTTGGAATCGATTTTGCCGAGTGGGTTCATGGAGAGAACACAAGATAGAGGTGTGGTGGTGAGGTCGTGGGCCCCACAAGTTGAAGTATTGAGCAGAGAATCCGTCGGCGGGTTTGTGACTCACTGTGGGTGGAACTCGGTGCTGGAGGCGGTGGTGGCCGGAGTTCCGATGATTGCGTGGCCTCTGTACGCCGAGCAGCACATGAATAGGAATTTGCTGGTGGAAGACATGAAGATGGCTATGGGGTTGGAGCACAGAGATGGAGATGGGTTTGTAAAAGGTGACAATTTGGAGAAGAAAGTGAGAGAACTGATGGAATCGGAGAAAGGCAGAGAGATGAGAGAGAGATGCTTGAAGATGAGAAATTTGGCTGTATCTGCAAGAGGAACCTTTGGTTCGTCAACCAAATGGTTGAACAACCTAGTTGAAACGTGGAAAAAAAATGGTCATTGATACCTTTTTTTTTCTTATTGTAGATAAAGATAAGCACTCTATTATATAAAAGGTCAAATTATAATTCGGGTTGAGGTGCGCCCAGCACCCCGAACTATTTATCCAGGTGCATCCAGTGGCCTAAAGTAATTTTGGGTGCATCCAGTGTCCTAAACTAATTAAAATGGTGCATCCATATCCTAGGCTAACATAAATGTTATGTTTAACCGTTACTTTCCTGACTCAACTTAAAGTTGACCCCATATATTCTACATGGTAGACATATGGGCACCCGATGTGTATTATTCTTACTCAAAAGTCAATTTATTTAGAAGAAGAGGAAGGAAATAAATTCAATTTTGAGTAAGAATAATACATATCAAATGTCCATATGTCTACCATTTAGAATATCTGGGGTTAACTTTAAATTGAGTCAGAAAATTAACGGTTAAACATAACATTTCTGTTAGCCTGGGATATGGACGCACCATTTTAATTAGTTTAGGACACTGAATGCACCCAAAATTACTTTAGGCCACTGGACGCACCTAGGTAAATAGTTCGGGGTGCTGAGCGCACCTTAACCCTTATAATTCTGACCGAATCTTGTTTTTCATGTGCATTTTTATCCCTAGTCTTTAAGTAGTGCAATTTTGTGTTGATTCTATTTTTAGGTGTAATTTTACTCCCTTTTTTTTTTTAATTTTGTCTCTAATTTTTGGATTAAAATTGTCTTAAAAATATCAGGATCAAAATTACACTATTAAAAAGATTAGGGTAAAAATTGTATGCTAACTCTTATAAAAAATTCGAGTTTGAATAAGCTTTATTGCAGAAATGTTAATTAATAGTTGATGCTCCTCGGGTCCTAAATCTTGAGGTATTGCTCTAATATTAAATACAATGTCTTATTCTGATTATTTCTTAAAATAGGTTTATGAAATTATATATAAAACGAATGAATGGAGGTCGCGATGGCATTGGAAAATAGACCACTTCGAGAAGGCCACGAACGTAGGAGGATGAAGGCAAGCATAGAATGGGCGAGAGGTTTTTTCACTTCCTCTTCCCCTCCATCCTTCTTCCAGGTCCCATCTCAGTCATTATATTTGAACAGTTCAAATTTTATATTTTATAAAATTATGAATAAAATGTTAAATTTTTTAAAAAGTAAATAAAATTAAATTACTAAATTTTATCCATGATAATTTAAAATAAAAATAAAAATACTTTATAAAATTATTGTGTATAATATGAAATTTGAATCATTCAAATTACAATCTTAATAGTTGAGATGAGAAGTTGATGAAAATAAAACGAAAAGGAAGTGGAAAGATTCTTTTTCTAACCTAAATAAGGCATTTTCTTTCCCAAAACACATGACACTCGCGCATTTGGTTTTTTTTTTTTTTTTTCACTTTTCTTTTTCTCTCGTATCTTTATTTATAATCTAAATAAGAAAATATTTATTTACCCCTCCAAATCTCATTTCCTCTTTTTCCTAGCTTGTTTGTCTAAAAATTATGGGTATAGTTATATCACTAAAAAGATTAAGGTGTTAGGTATACATGGAAAATAAAAGGGAGAATCACAAATAAAGACCCTCGAATTAGCAAAATCACTCTATGGTCACCTGAATATGCCAAATTATCATGAGGGACCCGGTCTCAAATTGTAATTATGAAATCATAGCCAAATTACCAAAATACCCCTCTTTATTTTTTTTTTAAAAAAGAAAGCCACTGCCTCACTGGAATCCGACCACCGGCACCGGAGCTCCGGCGGCCGCCTCCGGCCACTGTTGACGGCCGGACGCCGAGGTCCGGCCGCCGGAGCTCCGGTGCCGGCGGCCACTTCCGGCGGCCTTCCTTTGTTTTTTTTTTTTTGCAACTTTTTTTTTTAAAATAGTGGGGGAAGTGAGGTTGGGGGATTTGATCCCCCAACCTAATGCTTCCCAAAATAAGGAATGACCATTGAGCCAACAAATTTTTGTTAACATTATGATGCAAAAAAAAATATAAGTTAACTCATTTACTCTTGTTCCAGGTGATGACAACAATACATTTAAAAATAACAAATTCTGATTATAAAATAACAAGTTTGGAATTAAATTTTAAAAACATGTTTTTTTTATAACAAAACACTTTGTTTCAAGTGATAACAACAATACATTTAAAAATAACAAGTTCTGATTATAAAATAACAAGTTTGGAATTAAAATTTAACAACACGTTTTTTTTTATAACAACACACTTTGTTTCAAGTGATAACAACAATACATTTAAAAATAACAAGTTCTGATTATAAGATAATAAGTCTGAGATTAAAATTTAACAACATGTTTTTTTATAATATAAAATTTATACTATGATTAATAGATTAAAAATGCCTTATTATAAATACTTTATAATTTATAAGAAGTAGTTTGATTTATAATGAGTTGTATAGATATACAGATTAAAAAGTATTTTTTAGAGAAATAAATATATTAAAAATATTTTTATAAGTTATAAATAATTTATTTTTTAAAAGTATAAAATAATTAATTGTTATAAAAAACGTGTTGTTAAATTTTAATCCCAGACTTATTATCTTATAATCAGAACTTGTTATTTTTAAATGTATTGTTGTTATCACTTGAAACAAAGTGTTTTGTTATAAAAAAAACGTGTTGTTAAATTTTAATCCCAAACTTGTTATTTTATAATCAGAACTTGTTATTTTTAAATGTATTGTTGTTATCACTTGAAACAAAGTGTTTTGTTATAAAAAAAACGTGTTGTTAAAATTTAATCCCAAACTTGTTATTTTATAATCAGAACTTGTTATTTTTAAATGTATTGTTGTCATCACCTGGAACAAGAGTAAATGAGTTAACTTATATATTTTTTTGCATCATAATATTAACAAAAATTTGTTGACTCAATAGTCATTCTTTATTTTGGGAAGCATTAGGTTGGGGGATCAAATCCCCCCAACCTCACTTCCCTCACTATTTAAAAAAAAACAGTTACAAAAAAAAAAAACAAAGGAAGGCCGCCGGAAGCGGCCGCCGGTGCCGGAGCTCCGGCGGCCGGACGCCAGGGTCCGGCCGCCGACAGTGGCCGGAAGCGGTCGCCGGAGCTCCGGCGCCGGTGGCCGGATTCCGGTGAGGCAGTGACTTTCTTTTTAAAAAAAAAAATTAAAGAGGGGTATTTTGGTAATTTGGCCATGATTTCATAATTACAATTTGAGACCGGGTCCCTCATGGTAATTTGGCATATTCAGGTGACCATAGAGTGATTTTGCTAATTCAAAGGTCTTTATTTGTGATTTCCCCAAAATAAAATTAAGAGTAAAATTAATGTGAAACATTCTATTATAATATAATATAATATCCGTGTCAAAATTAATTATTAGAGATGCATAAAAACGTAAGGCAAGAAATTACAAAAATAATGAAGCTATTAGCTATATATTAGGAGAAAGATCAAAGATACTACAATCCAATTTAAATTAAAAAAATTTCCAAATACCTTTTGCAATTTCTATGTTAAACCCTCCACAAATTAACTTTCCGAAAAATGCGAATAAATTGAAAACTATAATATTCATATTTTTACCTCAAGATTTCCGCTTAATTTTATGACAGTTCCCAAAATTAGTCAATTAAGCAAATAAATGCATTAAAAATTTATTTAAGCTAAAAATTGTCATTTAAATACTATATTAATATGGCATAAAATATATAAAATTATTGCTTTATCAAATTCCTCCAAGCTTATCTTTTGCACTATTGAGCAAAGCAAACCTGGGCAAGTCAATAATCTAAAGACACATAAATAAGCTCCAATGACACACCAAATCAGCAAAACTCGCTCTGAAATATAATTTAACCATTTAACCCATCTATTGATGACATTCTTGAAACCATCCTACTTTGCCTATAAGAGTAAATATTGGGACTTTAACCGCTCTAAGTGCATTCTAACTGTTCCAGAACAAACCAAGCTACACTAAGAATTTCAATAGGTTACGTTGAAGACTTTCAAAACCAAAATGATTACTATCCTAACCTCCCTGAATGGAAATTTGAAATGATGATTCCTAGTTGAAATTTTAAAACTTTGATTCAACCCAATGCCAAACAAGATCCCTAACATCAAAATCCATTTAGTTGCAATGCATAGAGCTCTTTTGACCAAGTTACTTGCCAATTTCCATGAACAGCCAGAGCATTCAAACCCTTTTTAAGCAACAATATAGCAATGGAGCTAGAAATGGAAGTAGCTAGATATTAACAAGTCAGGTGCAGATATTAACAATTAACATGGAGATGGGTACCCCCCTGAGCAAGGGTGGGTGAAGTTGAATGTGAATGGGGTTGCCAAGGGACAACCAGGAAGAGCGGGTTGTGGAGGAGTATTGAGGAATGCGAGAGGCGAATGGATTGGTGGTTTTGTGAACAATATAGGCATTTGTATAGCTTTTACTGCAGAGTTATGGGGCTTATGTCTGGATTTCGTCTCATTGCTAGCAAGGAATTTAAGAAAATCATTGTGGAGTCTGATTCTATTGCCATAGTCTCTGCTCTATTTGATTTTTGTTGCGATCAAAGAATTGATAATATGTTTTTACAACACATACGTAGAATTATTGGATAGGATTGGGATATACGTGTACAGCATACTTTTAGAGAGGGAAATTCTTGTGCTAATTGGCTTGCTAACTGGAGCTTGTCGCAAGATCCTGGCTTACATCTTCTGCATGATCCTCCTGTGGGTCTGAGGATGTTTCTGTATAGAGATAGAACGGGCTTTGAATGCCCAAGACTGGTTGATTTGAGTAGTAGTTAATTTTGAGCGTTTTGCTCCATTTCTTACCCGAAAAAGAAAAAGGTATTGTTAATTTCAAATGTGCAATTCAGCCATATTTTGTTTAGAATAAAAATATTATATTACATTATGTCCAAAATGTATCACTAAGATTTATGTTAATTGACAAGTGTTAATGTTTGCACCTTGACTTGTTAATATATATTTTTCAACAGATA